GGCCGGGCCAGGTCCCCGGGGCAAGTGACGGTGTCCGGGCGCCGAGGGCTGGAGGGGCACCGCGAGGGCATCTTGGCTCTCACCTCGTTTCGGTCTTCGCTGCAAAGTCCCCTGCGCTCTGCCCAGGTTGAAGCCTTCCCTGACCGTCTGCGTAGCCACATCCTCTCTCTCTCTTCACTCCCAGCTTTACACTTCACTTTAGCGTCTAATATTTTAAATCATGTTCTTTTTCATTCGCTTATTCTCCTCCCCCCCCCAGTAGAAACCCTCCAGGGCAGGGCCTCTGGCTTAGCCCCCAGGGCTGGCACACAGTAGGCACTCAGTGGATATTTATGGAATGAATGAATCTAACCACCAATCAACCTGTCCGTTCTGAAACATCTCCCGCTACAGCAAAGATGAACCTTTTAAATGATGTTGTCACTGCCTGGGTTGCTGTCCCCTATCTCTCTCCCCTTTTCTATGGGAACAAGCACACGTTCACCCTTCAATACTTTATTCAGGCATCGCCTGTAGTTTGAAGCCTTATTTACCCATTTCCGACCCTTCCTTGACCCCTCTCTACCCTAAACAGAGCAAATACCACATCTTGCTCTATGCCTGTATCTTGACACACAAATCTCCGCCATTACACAAATTCATGCACTCCCTCATTTATTAATTCATTCAACAGACTTACAGGGAATTCCTGCTATGTGTGAGGCACTGTGGTAGGTGCCAAGGATAGAAAGAAGATACTTTTCAGGGATCTTAGGGAAGGAGGCAAACAAGTAAATGAACAAATTATGCTTGGTCCTGTGTTAGAGTGATAGAGTGCTGTGGGTGGGAGGTGCTCTTTTTCATAGTTAGAGTTGAAGGCTCTCTAGCAATAGATAAATATAAATATGGATACAGATAAAGATATAGATATGGCTCACTCTGTATGTATGGATATATCTATATCTGTCTAGAGAGATTAAGTTAAGAGCCTATAGCTTGGCATTGGTGTCATCTCTCAGACGTGGGGCTCTTTATGCAGGAGAACATGCACAACCTCAGGGGAAGCCTGCAGGAAGGGCCTGGGACAGGCTCAGGCATCCACACGTGACCTTGACCTGAAACACAGGCAGGTTTGGCTAACCCGACTTCATCCTGTTCTCCCTAACACCACTTAGTGAACCACCCTTTCGCTTTCTTTTCTTTAATTGGCATTTTCTCTCAAATTATGAAAGTAATGCATGCGTAACTTGGGAAATACAGAAAAATCCAAAAGGGAAAATAAACCACCCACGTTTGCACCATCCAAAAATAATAATTGTCAATATTGTTGTCTCTCCCTATTTCCCCCTGGTAGACTGTGACACCACTTACATTAACAACTGCTACATACAGCTCGGAAAGTCCAAACGGGAAAATAAACCACCCACGTTTGCACCATCCGAAAATAATAATTGTCAATATTATTGATTGTGTCTTCCTATTTCCCCCTGATAGACTGTAATACCACTTACATTAACAACTGCTACATACAGCTCCCTAGACTGCTCTCAGCTCCCTGCACATGATAACTCACGGAACCTCCCTGGCCCTTTGAGGGAGGTAACATTACTTTCCCTGCTTACAGATGGGAGAACTGAGGCCCAGAGAAGTTAAACCACTTGCCCAAGTCACAGAGCTTATAAGGAGCAGGGCTGGGCTTTGAACCCAGGCAGTTGGCTACACAGGCTGCCAGCCCCCCCTTGCTCTCTGCACGGTCGT